ACCCATTCAAGCCGTCTCCAGCCATTATTAGTCTCAAAGTGGGTTCCTCGTCATCGAATATATATATTATTGTTTGAACACTAGTATATAGTTGAGGCCTGATTTTAACAATATGTATTGTTGTTGGAATGAATCTAATAGTTCTGCTGGTAATAATTTTTTCTGTTAGTAGGTGGTGTCACTTCCGGTTTCCTCTTTTAGGTTTTGAGGGCACGTGCCCGACCCCACCGAGTTTAAGCATTTCAGGTCAAACTATTCAGAAGTTAAAGCAGGTGCAGTCAATTTCCTTAAAGCTCAAGAATAAGAACAATAAATTCAAAAGGGCAAGGAAACAATTTCAGAAATAGTAGTACAGAATGGTGTTAATCCATTGTTGAACAGTGGAGCGGTTGATGGGAACGATAGAGGTGAAATTTGTAAATAACAACAGCGAAAATGAGTATCGTCTATACTCAGATATTCTAAACAATGAAACAGTCGAAAAGAAGGTGGGGGGGGGGGAGCTCACGCGGCTCGTGACATACTGATTGCTTTGTTGTCAAGCGCAAAGCTACACGTTACGTTATCTGTCCAGCCCACAACGGGTATCGAAACTTGGTTTTAGGTGTTATGCGTCCATAAAACTAATCGCTGAGCCATTGGAATTGAAGCATAACATGTGGGTTGATTCACCCATGTCTGCCTACACCACTGACCTCAAGTGGCCTACACTTGCACTCTTCCAAAACTCTAGAAGCGGAAGCTGTCCCCAACAAACAGAGCACGAGAGTGTCCAAGAATATTTATTTATCTAGTAACTGAATGTAAAGGTCCAATTTTTCGTCACATTCCAAAACACCTATGCATTGGCCTATATCTTGCCTGACAGAGATGTAGAAAGCAAATTAAAAGTGTGTGTGTGGTGGGGGGGGGTATTTAACTGATCGTAGCGAGGGGATGTGTGCCACAGGGTACTGGAAACTCTTGGATTAAATTTTATGCATGCTCCTGCTTTCTCTGGGAGTAATTTACCTAATTTTGGTGCATTTTTATTGGAACAGATTGAACTGCTGAAGATACGTTAATTTGTGATGGATAATCTTAATCTGACGGAAATGGATGAGAGGGGATTTCACTAAAAGCAACAGTCCAAGCGATTAATGAAGCTTTACATTTGTTACAACTTATGACATCATTTATAAATATAGCGTGTCCGAAAATTATATTAACAGATCCCTAAAACATAATCATATATTTTAGTTAACCCAATATCAAGATACACGCAGTTGATGACAATTCACTCAATGAGATAAAAGATATCGAACTTTCTGTTAAAATAAGAGAACGCTAAGCCTGCTCAGTTGTATACCCTAGATACATTCTTCGCACGCGCTTATTATAATACCATGTATTACGTCACTTAAGACTGACCAACGTCATCAAAACTGGTTCTACCAATCAAAAGAAGGGCGAAACAACCATTCATATAAGTTTTTGTAAGTGCAAAACTACACAAGTAAGTTAACTGCGCCTGTGTCCACCGCGGGGGAAAAGAACCTCCGAATTTTAGTGTTTTGGGTTGTAAGCCCTCAAATTTCCCACTGACTCATTAGCAAGACGGCATTCATCTACTGCCAACTGACGAAAGTATTTTAAAAACATGATTATGTTAACTTTAGGGATACATATATACAGTATATATATGTATATAGCACAGCACAGATAGCCCATTGTGTAGCTTTGCACTTGGTAACAAACAAAACCAAAACTTAGCAGAATCACGGTTTACAGTAAGTTAGTCTTGTTAACTGTATAGTGATAATCATAGCTGACGAGGTAATTAGCATTACGTCATGATAATGGACTGTGCCAATTTGAATGAAAGAAGTATAGGAAATCACATTAAGATAAAGGCGAGGCTTTCACAGCGACTTGAAATACTAACAAAGTGATTTAGGCTCGAAGTTAAACGAATATGTATTAAACATTTATATTATCCGCCTATCACAAAAAACGGAAGAATACGTTCACTTGCGGGTGGTGGCGCCACACGTAATCTCGATTTATTATCATACTATTACTTCAAAATAATTTTGTGATAAAACTACATACATGATAGTGTAGCAATTTAATCTACATCCGGTGTTTGTTTTTCTGGTGCTTAATCAAAGTTGTATCTTGTATTGCTTGATATTTACAAAACAAAAAATCAAAACCGTTTTTAATGCTAAGTTTGTAACTTTCGAAACTTATTTCGTACCCCATAATTGTTATTAGAATATTAGACTTTTCCAGTCATTTCTTTTTTCGTGAGCTTAGATAACGAAGAAGTTGTATCACAGTGAACAAGGTATAAAGTTTAATCTATTAATATAATAATATTCAGTTTTGCCTGTTCTGAAAATGCGCGCGCACTTTTATTTCATCGGATGTAAACAAAAGGTGGATGTAAATATACTTTAGTAGACATTTTGTGCAACAACATATTAAAAACTTATCAAAGTTTTAAAAGGTTTAACGTTGGGTCGTAGAACAACATTACAAATTTATTTGTTGATAGTATTAAGTAAAGTACAGTAACTAAACATATATAAGTTACAGTGTTAATTCTTTATCGAATATAGGCCGTACTTAATATAGGCTTAACTAATGTTAGGCCTAAGACAAGTAAACTTGTAGATTTCGGTGTCTGCAATTAGAATTATTTTGTATTGTTCTAGAAATTCTGTGTTTAAAGAAGTACTATTACGACAAATATACTAATTTCACCGTAAAATGTTTTGTGGGTCTCTGCTAGTTCACAGGTAATTGCCCGATTAACAAAAAATACGGAATATTTGTTAAGACTTTTTTCAAATATAGAAACTGATGACAATCAGCAGAGGGATACCGAACTTTTACTCACAATCTCGATAATCGATTTTTATTTAAACGTTCACGCTCTATTGTGTAACACCAATGTATTCACTGACCTAAGTTTATAAGTTCAAATCTGATTGGCTATAAATTTATCTCCAGAACCTAATATCGTAATAACCTAGTTACTATCACGTTCACTCATTGGAAGTGTCAAGAGAGTCTACCCAAGTTCACCTCGAGATAATTGATAATATAATATATTTGCTTAATGAATATATAAGAAGTATAAATATATAAAAAAATTGGTCTGTAGCGTGTATTATAACAGCGTATATACGTGTGTCTTAAAGATAAGTAGGTCACACATACACAATTACAGGTATAAAAGAAAGTTTCTGATGGTCAGATTTCACTACACTCGTGTTTCCGAACCACCCTGCACGTGTCTATCTATCTAAACACAGAGAGACATTCGAATAAATTTTTTAATAGAGTTTTTGTTGTTTTTAACTATGCATAAAGCTACACAAGGGCTATCTATGCTCTGCCCACCACGGGTATCGAAACCCGGTTCCTAGCGTTGTAAGTCCGCAGACATGCCGCTGTGCCACTGGTGGGCGAGTTTGTTTGTTTGTAGTTAAGTACAAAGCTACACAATGGACTATCTTGCTTTACCCACCACTTGTATCGAAACCCGGTTTCTAGAAGTGTAATGTAAGTCCGCAGACATGCCGCTGTGCTACTGGAGGGCTTTTTTAATAGAGAAAGTAATTGAGAACGAGAGTTTGAGAATTGAAAATATCACTGCAAACATTAGTATTATTTTCTAATTAGTTTTAATAAAAAAAGCTAACACGTCACCACATATATATATATATATATATATATATATGT